ACTCTGCAGATCCCCAGTATTGCAACAGCCTCCTAACAGGTTTCACAACTTCTGTTCTTGTCCCCACCACATCCTCCAAAAGCCCTACAATCGAGTCCACACAGCATTCAGAATGAGCCCTTAAAAATGTAAATCAGCTCTAGTGACTGCCTTGCTTACCGCCCTTCCGTGGCCTCCTACTCCATTAGAACGCAACGGAGCCCTGTCTGGCCCGGCCTTACTTGCTCCTTGCTGCCCATGCTGCCTTTGTCTCCTCCAGCCCACTGCCAATCTAGCACTTCCTCGAACGTATCCGCCTCCATTATGCCTTTGGTCTTATTGTTCCCTCTGCCAGGAGCCCTCTTTCCAGAGGCTTCTTTATGCCAGGCTTCTTCACATCCCGTGGCTCTGGGTCAAAAAAAGCTTTCTCTCTCCCCCTCCCCTGCTCTCTGTTCTACTCTCTACTACTCCTGCTGCGCTTTCACCACAGCCCCTTGATGGCCCTATTTTATATACACCGTGCCCCATAAATCATTCACACAAACATACAGCCTCGTTGCTGCTGCTGTTCTTAGGGGTGTAGAGCAGGTTCCCACTCACAGTGACTCTGTATCAACAGAACAAAATATGTCCCAGTCCTGCAGCCTCCTCACCATCCATCTGCTCGGTGACCCCATTGTTGCAACCACTCTTTCCATCTAACCTGTGGGAGGGTTTCCTCGTTTTCACTGCCCCTCGACTTTACCATTAACACTTCACCAAGCATGATGTCTTCTTCCCGGCACTTCTAAGGAACATTCTAGATATGCTTCTTCCAGGACAGATTTGTTTGTTCTTTTGGCAGTCCATGGTACTTTCAAGATTCTTTGCCAGCACCGTAATTCAAATGTACTGATTCTTCTTCGGTCCTTCATATTCAATGTCCAACTTTCACAGGCACATGGGGTAAGGGAAAACACCATGGCTTGTCTCAGGTGCAACTTAGTCCTCAAAGTAACATCCTTGCTTTTCAATGCTCTAAAGAGATCCCGTGCAGCAGATTTACCCAATGCAGTGGGTCATTGGATCCCTTAACTGCTGCTTCCTGAGCATTGATTGTGGATCCAACCAAATCCTTGACAACGTCAATCTTTTCCCCATTTATCCTGATATTATTTATTGATCCAGTTGGGAAGATTTTTTTTCCTTTATATTGAATTGTAATCTATACTGATGGCTGGAATCCTTAGCAGTTCACCAGTGGGTGGCTGGTTTGCAAAATGCCTATAACACGTCTCATTTGCATACAAGACAGTTTTTTCCTCAGAGAATTGGCCACAGCTTCAGATGATCTGCTGTTTCTTCTCACTGAAATATAAACCCAAGCGGGCAGAAGCCTCCTGGGTTGTATTCACTACCACCACCTCAGCATCTGATACATTCTAAGAATGTTCTAAGTGACCTAATGTTTTGAGATGCCCTAATTCACATGTGAGGCCTCCTCCTGGCACGTGGTTAAAAGACAGATGGCTAACCTCAAGGCCGGTGGTGGTCTGAGTCCTGAAGAAGAACTGGTCATCTACTCCCATGAAAAGTATCAAAACTAAAAGCCAGCTCCATTATGAAGGCGAAGCCCAGAAACCCCTCTGAGACTGGTACTCACTCAGAGGCGGTCACTCTGGGTCAAAACCCCAGTCTGCAATCCCCAACCGAGACAAACCACAACCAGTCCCATCGTCATGCATCATCAGTTCCAGTTTATTTTGAACACACATACATTTCATATTGAAGAAGTGGCACGCCACTATTAATACCGCGGTCACTTTACAATTTGCCTAAGAGTCATTTCCACCAAATAAGAGAATGGCTATGGGAACAGAAGGAGGACAGAGAAGAGGAAAAAGCAGACAGACACACTGGAACTCTGGGCTGCTGTCTTTTTCATTAGAAGTAAGATAAGGTTCATGAGCGTAAGCATCCGTGCTCGATTCTTCAGAAGTTGAAAATTAGATCAAATGAATTGGAGGACAACTACAGCTCGTGTTAATGTTTTCCTTCTCGAAGAGAGAAAATGAGATGATGTGAGCCATGACTCCATTTGAAAATGAAACTTTGTATCTCTATTTGCTGCCTCGTAAAAGCAGACTGTTTTTCATTTTAGACTTTTCATGTTGGTAAATGTTGCAATACTTTACATTCATTAGGCTCAGGCCCATTTACTATATGCAAGCAAAGCAAGCACAGATGTAATATCCCCATAAAGCATTATTTCTAAATTACACAGTAAATAAATGAAACTAAGCCAGAAGCCCAAATATCACAACCCTACCCCCAATGCAAAAACAAACAAGCCACCTTAGACCAAAGTTCCTCTTCTGTAAAAGGTGTCACTTAGGAACCATTGGTTCTTCCCTTATGATCTCAATAAACTATTCACCTAAGAATACACTGGGTGCCTGACCCTAATTCAAGGCAGGCAAAAGGACTTCAAGAAGAAAACTGGACTAATCGGTTCCTGGCTGTCTTTTGCAAAGCGTGATGAGAAAAAAGCAAAAAACAAAACAAAACTGGTCTTGCGTTGGAAGTTGGTGTTGATTTCTGACCAGCTGATTACAGCAAAGCCAAAATAAAGTACAGGTTCACAGTGTGATGACAGTCTTTAACGTTATAATTGCCCTTGGATCTATTTAATTTAGCTATAAGTCATGAAGCATAATTGAGACAAATGGTTATGTGAGCAGGTATCAGATATGACAAGAAGTTGGCGGTGATTATTTTGTGGCTCAATTTCCAGTCAGGAACTTTTTCTGCCAACACCTTTCCTATGATGGCTATTAAATTTTATAGGATTTTTCCCCATCATTAGTTGTAATGGCATTTGCATGTTAAATGCTCACAACAAATGAAAACCATGATTCCATTGTTTCACACAGTGAAAACCATGGTTACTGCTATTTCGAATGGAGAACAAATCTAAAAAGATTCAAGTAATTCTTCCTCCTTGTATGATACCTATATAAGCTCTGTGGGGAAGCCTATTTACTTTGAAACTCCTCTATTTTTGAAACAGGGTAGGTTTTGCACATGTCAGAGAACTGTCCTTTCTATGATAAGTCAATAATCTTAAAACAGCTCAACTGTCCTTTTTGTTGAGGGAATTGGTTTGCAATGAACTATAATGCTTTCTTAAGTTTAGTGAAGCACCTATCATTGGAGCCTGCAGGTAAAAGCACACATAAAAACCAAATCCACTGCCATTGAGTCAAATGCTGACTCATATCAAGCCCCGGTGGATTTCAAAGCCTATAACTGTTTATAGGAGCAGGACCTCAGTCTGTCCCCCAGGGAGCTGCTGGTGGTTTCGAACTGCTGGCCATTCTGACCACAGCCCAATGCATCACCACTATACCACCAGGGCCCCTAATAGGTAAAAACAAGTAACTATGTATTTTGGTTGTTTGTGTTTGATTAAAAGAAATAACAGAATTCTGGAAGACAAACATAAAGAGTTTCCTAGCCAATTTTCAACTCTGAGAAAATTAGCCAATGAATCCTAGAACTGTTTGGGTTTTGTTTGATTAGTTATCCAGGGTCCTCTAAATCTAGTAAAACAAGATTCAAAAAACGATGCATTGCTGGATTTATAAAAGTATGGAAACTATAGCTCCTTCAACCTGCTCCTTCAAGATCCTTCTAGCGTGGTGCCGCTGTGGTCAGCACTCCCTCATCATCAATCACCTTTCAAAGCCTATTCCCATATTCTAGAAGAATGCTTACGCTGCATGACTCTCATATTCGCCAAATCCCTTCTCAAAAACTCACATTGTTCTGAGCTGCCTTCAGAAATGAAATCTCCTATTAAGAAAGTCAACCAAATTCTGAATCTTCATCTTAATTTGATGTATATTGTCACTCTTTCCCACGTGCTTCTTGAAAGCATTTAGATGAGAAATATCTGAGTTCACATTGGGCACCATACAAATGTGTGAATTAGTTTCAAATTATATGTAATTTCCTATTTTTTTTTAAAAATTGAGCATTGTTGTCTTATCTAGTGCCGCTATAAAAAAAATTTCTTCTAGTGGCTAGTTTTAACAAACAAATTTACCTCGTTAAAATTTAGTAGGCTAGAAGTCTGAATTCAGGGTGCTGGCCCTAAGGAAGGCTCTGTGTGTGTGTGTGTGTGTGTGTGTGTGTGTGTGTGTGTGTGTGTCCTCGTCTCTCTGACTTTATGCTTCTGGAGGATCTTCATGTGGCTGAGCATGTGGCTAACCCCATAGCTGCTTTCTCATTTGCTTATTGAATATCAGAAAAAGGACAGACTTGAAAAATAACCCTACAGTAAGCCTGCCTCTTTAAAATAAAAAGGACACACACAATCCAAATGGGATGATAACACCTGTTTGGGGGGACACAACTCAATCCATAAAATTATTCAAGCAAATAACTCAGAATAGTTAACTTGAAAATTATATCCTGAGTGTTTTGTCTCAATTTTTCATTCCTCCTTTCTTCCCCACCCAGTATTCTATACTGCTAAAGAAAGGTAAGAGAGCCTGTGGTTTTGTTAGGTGAAGGAATCAGAGATCATCAAATCCATGTGTTCATCCAATAGCTTTTTATTTGCTTACTTACTCAACTAATTACACTTAGGGCAAGGCCCATCAAGCACTCATGGTTTATCACAGCATTTCCCTCAAGCTTTAGGGAAACTTTGGAAACATGGATAATCGCTCATTGATCCAGACTGGTTTGGGATTGAGAAAGTCCACCTCTAAAAATATTGAGAACTCTTGATCACAAACCGAGCCCAATTAGTAATAAGCATTAGTTTTTTTGTTTGTTTGGTTTTTGCCCTAAGGGAAAGCTGGGATATTTTATTTTTGATTGTTTAAATTGTAGAGGTTTTTGCATTCACAGTGGTTCTTCATGTAAAACAAATATGTAGAAATAAGCTAAATAGTTTGTTAAGATACAGAGTTTGTTTTTTAGTCAATATACATTTTTATATCTTTAAAGCTATGTACACCGATCATTACAAAGACATTTCAGTTAGAGGCTACATGTTAATAGCAAAAGCATTTGGTTAGTCATTCATGGTTATTAGATTTCACATTTTGTCTTTTCTTTTTTTTTTAAATCATTTTATTAGGGGCTCCTACAACTCTTATCACAACCCATACACATAAGCATTACTTTTGATAGATATTAGTTTCCCTTCTCTGGCTACACAAACACATGCATACCCTAAACAGAATTCCTCGGGGTTCCAAAAGCAGGCTGCAGTGGACTGTAAGTCTTAGTGCACAACCAACTGTGAGGACTGGGTAAGTCACTTAGGCTCTCAAAAACTCAATTTCCAGAATTTTAAAATCAAATATAATATTTATAGCTTTATGATTCTATTGTCCTCTGGCCAAAGAGATGGGTCAAACACCTGAGCATGATAATTAAATTTACTCAAGCATAACATTCATGGTCCCAAGATTTCTTCTCTACCACTGAATATATCTGGGAGTTGTAGGCTGGCACACGTTGTTACCATGCTCGCTGCTAACCAAAAGAGATTGGAGACTACTCAGAGATGCATAGGAGGAGATGTCAGGGGATCATCCGAAACATCAGCCGTTGAAAATTCTACAGAACGCAGGTTCTACTCAGACAGGCATGAAATTTTCATGAGTCAGAAGTGACTTTACAACAATTGATTTGTTTAGTATTTCTAATATCCTTTCTGAAAGTATTACCTTCCAACCTACTTTGGGAAGCATGCCACAATTCAGTTTCTACACAGTCAATGCAACCTATACTCAATCTGAAAGAGTAATCTAAACTCTGCTGTGTTGCCTCAACTATTTTAAAAAATAAAATACTGGACTTCTGTTATTGTGATGAGTATTTTCATACAATTCTGGGTTTGTCTCAAGCAATGCTACAAAAAACACTGATACTATTGAAAACAGAAACAGCCTCCCTGCTATTTTCACTTTATCTAATGAACACAGAAGAATGGCTTCAGTTCAAGGAGAAAAAAGGACATAAGCTATAATCATAAGAGGGCTATTTGTTATAAACTTTAAATAGATGCAGTCGCATAAGGACACTAACCAGGAATGTCAAGTATATTTAAGACATTTAAACATATTACAATATTTCATACAAGTGATTATCTGTCATTGGGTTCCTGTTGGTGATTCACACAGAACACAGTGAGTTACAGGTAAGTAGAGCCACATAGGATTGCATGCTTTTTAGGATAGCCATGTTACAGAAAGTCATGGGTGTTATATGACCTTGACTGAATTGCTACTCAACCCCCAACAGACCCTGCTGGCAACAACCCTGGCCCCGCACTTTAAATCCCCAGATACTGGTTCATTTTGGCTAAGGCGTCACACACGGTGTCCAAATCGCTGCGAAGGTCCTGCACCACACTTTGAATACTCCTGGTGTCTTTCAGGATTTCAATGCTTTGTGTGTAGGGGTTGAAGTATACGGAGAAGGGACGGGTAATGGACTTGGCAAAGTCCCTGCAGAATAAACAGAAAGAGAAGAAGAATTTGCCATCAGCCCCTGTTGATAGGAGAGATAGATAGGAAAGAAGGAGTAGGCCAGAAGGGAGAAAAAAAAAAAAAAAGATTTTTCTCTAGATGGAAGGACATTCAAGTTTACCTCATCTTTTCCTTGGCTTCTTCAAAACTTTCTGAAACAAAGTAGGCTTCCTGGAAGGTGGTGATAAGGCATTCCTGTAAGCAGGTAATCTTTGGGTCAAAGGATTTCACGCACGCCTTGTCAGAAAGTGCATGCTGCAAAACATACCACAAAGCCTGTCAAACCCCATGATGAGACTTCCAAGGGGCCACGACATCAGTAGCCCAGGATTCCGGCAGAACTGCTCAGCTGCTAGTGCACCCTGAAATAAGCTTTCCCATGTGCAAGGTAAATTGGGTGATTTTTGTTTATTTGTTTGTTTATTTAATCTAATAAGTGTTGAGGGAAAAACAACTCTGCTTTGGTATTATTTTATTTATTATCAGACAAATTCATGTTGAAGGACAGTTCTGAGCTATACCCCCAGCAAAATGGAATTTTAAATCTCCACTATAAATAGAGCCAGGGAGAGCATAAATATGCTCATAAGTTTATGGCTATAAGCAATGTACTGAAATTGCACTTAAATGGCAGAAGTAATAATTACCTATGTAGAGAGGTAATTGGGGCTCTGACTGAACTATTTGTGGAGTCATTGCAAGACATTTTGAGGCCAAGTACTATGTACCAACAGAGTCTTGTGTAGGTTTGTATGTTTGAGGACACTTGCAAGCATTCATTTACCTTCCACCAAGCTGAGCTGAGCAACACATAGCAGATAAATATTCCCAGGCTGTCGGGGGTGAGGTGTGGGGGTGAAGCTAATCATTATAGCTATGCAGAAAGTAGAGATTAGGAAAATGGGAGCACTGATGTAATTACTCTTTGAACCATTATTAGCTCTGTTTTGCTCACTATACGGCTGGCACTAAGAATAGCCAAGAACAAGATATAGCTGTATTCTCCAGATAAATTCAGTGATGTTCAAAGTTTGGGGCCTATAACGGGAGTTTGGGGGAAGGGGAATATAGAAGGGTGGGGGGAATAAGAAGGAGATGATGTCAAGAGAAGTATGCTTTGGAAAATGTATATGATTATGGAAGAAATTGCACAATTAGGTTTGACATGATTGAATTATGGAAGATATGACATATGTATTGGCTTCCAAGTTACAACTAATTTTCTTAAAAAAGGCATAGATCCAGGTATGGGTTTTGGTTTGCTCTAGATCCTAGCTCCAACTTAAGAATAATTAGTTCTTACATTTTGGCCCTGCTACATACTCACCTTCATGAAATGACCGCTGAAGATAAGGGTGCTACAGCAAAATGTGGTGAAGAAACCAGATGATGCCCGGCTATCAATCAAAATAGTGTCTGGGGTCTTAAAGGCTTGTATTCACACAAGCAGCCATCTAAGTGAGGAGTCACCTAAGTCCATGTGGAAGAAGCACACCAGCTTGCGTGATCCAAAGATGACAATTATAAATCTCAAATACGGTGAGGAGAAGAGCATCAGAACTAAAATTATGAACACCCAATTTGTGGAGGGCTATGGGGGTGGTGAGAGCCCAAAACCCATCTGCAGAGCCTCTGGTGAGCCTGAGCCACGGGCAGACCTGCTCTAGCCGCAGGCTGGAGTCTTGATCAGCCCTGCTATAGGCAGAGGCCACTGTCATCTGGATGAAGCTGATCAAACCACACTTGGCCAGCTGACGACCCTACAGATGGGACCTGACTCTGTTCTGGGTGCAAGTGTCTCTTCGTGGTTCCATGACAGACATTTCTTCCCCGGCTTTTTTATTATTGTTGGGGGGCTTTTCCTTCTTACGCATTATTGGTATTTTTGTCTGTATACTATTAGGTTTCTACCCTTACCACCTTAGAGGGATTTCATTTTCTTTTGGGTCTCCCAGATGTGAGGCACAGGAGAAGTGGATGCATGATGACAATAACTGATACAATGATGATATGGGGATATGGGGAATGCAAGACAGTGGGGGATGAGTGGAGACAGGGAGGGAATAGGGATTTCAGGAGTAAGGAGTAGGGAATGTACTAAAATTGATGTGGGGATATTGTACAATTCTCTGTTATGATTAAATGATTGAACTATTCAATTACATGATTTGTAAATTACATACTTGTGAATAAAACTGCTGGGGGGGGGGAAGTTTGGGACCATCTCTTGGTGTGTGTCACTGGCCTGTTTGTTGGCCTTAGATTGACAGTTCCTACATTTAATATGCATTAAGAATTATTGTGGACCTTATGAAAAATGCAGATACCCAAAGCCAAGCAATTTTATTTAGTAGGTCTGTGTAGACTTACAGATTTAATCTTTAAAGCAGCGTTTCTCAACCTGTGGGTCGCAACCCCTTTGGGGGCCGAACGACCCTTTCACAGGGGTCACCTACAACCATCGGAAAACTGAAATTTCCAATGGTCTCAGGAACTGAAACACTGCTCCTCTATCCATCTCCAGGCGGGTCCTCCCACATGCAGCTATGCCCACATACAAGTACCCGGCGTGAAGACTGTTACCCATGCTACACCATGCTTCAAGACAAAATTTCATTTATTTGTCATGAGAAATAAATATTTCACAATATATAATTACATATACATCCTGCATGGTCTACCTAGATAAGATAGGCGGGATAAACAATCTGGAGGAGAAAACAACAGGACCGATGGTTCTGGGGAACATGGGAGGGGTGAGGCAGGAGAAAGGAACTGGGTGTTAACAACCCCAGGGACAAGGGAACAACAAGTGCTCTAAAATCAATAGCAAGGAGGGTGTAGGGGCCTGGTGGGACATGATCAAGGGTAATGTAACCGAGAGGAATTACTGAAAACCAGTGAAGGCTGAACATGATAGTGGGACAAGAGGAAAGTAAAAGGAAATAGAGGAAAGAACTAGGAAGCAAAGGGCATTTATAGAGGTCTAAATACAGGCATGTACATATGTAAATATATTTATAGATGACAATGGGGAAATACATCTTTGTGCATATATTTATAGGTTTAGTATTAGGTAGCAGATGAACATTGGGCCTCTACTCAAGTACTCCCTCAACACAAGAATACTTTATTCTATTAAACTGTCATTCCATGATTCTCACCTTTCCGACATGATTGCTGAAGACAAAGCGGGTGCATAAGCAAATGTGGTGAAGAAAGCTGATGGTGTCCAGATAGCAAAAGATATAGCATCTGGGGTCTTAAAGGCTTGAAGGTAAACAAGCGGCCATCTAGCTGAGAAGCAACAAATCCCACATGAAAGAAGCACACCAGCCTGTGTGATCACAAGGTGCCCAAAGGATCAGGTCTCAGGCATCATCAGAACAAAAAATCAAATCGTTGTGAATGAGGGGGAGTGTGGAGTGGAGACCCAAAGCCCATCTGTAGGCAACTGGACATCCCTTTACAGAAGGGTCCCGGGGAGGAGATGAGCTAGTCAGGGTGCAATATAGCACCAATGACACATACAACTTTCTTCTAGTTCTTTAGTAATTTCTCCCCACACCCCCACTATCATGATCCCAATTCTACCTTACAAATTCAGCGAGACCAGAGGATATACACTGGTACAGATCAGAGCTGGAAACACAGGGAATCCAGGACAGGTAAAAACCCTCAGGACCAATAATGAGAGTAGAGATACCAGGAGGCGAAGGGGAAGGCGGGGGAGAAAAGGGAAACTGATCACAATGATCTACATATAACCCCTCTCTGGGGGATGGACAACAGAGAAGTGGGTGAAAGGAGACATCGGACAGTGTAAGACATGGAATAATAATGATAATGTACAAATTATCAAGGCTTTGTGAGGGAGGACGGGAGAGAGTGTGGGGGAAGGAGGGGGAAAATGAGGTGCTAATACCAAGGGCTCAAGTAGAAAAAAAATGTTTTGAAAATGATGATTGCAGCAAATGTACAAATGTGCTTGACACAATGGATGTATATCCATATACTGTGTATGTTCGTGGATATCCATGGATTATGATAATAATTATATGAGCCCCCCTATCAAATGATATATATATATAAAAGAAAATACATCCTGCATATCAGACATTTACCTTACGATTCATAAGCATAACAAAATTACAGTTATGAAGTAGCAACGAAAATAATTTTATGGTTGGGGGTCACCACAGCATGAGGAACTGTATCAAAGGGTCGAGGCATGAGGAAGGCTGAGAACCACTGCTTTAAAGGCACTTAAGGTGACAATGATAAAAATGGTTGTGGGTTACATTTTGAGAAATACTTCCCTAGATACTACGCTTTCCTTAATTTAGTGGTAAATTAATCGGTAAAGAGAAGCAGAGAAAAAGAAGACAAGGGTAACTGGATCTGCTGTGAATAAGCATTAGAAAACTTGGACTCCAGCTACCTACGAGGGTAACAAGGAAGTTAACATTACACAAAGAAATGGGGTGTTGTCCTTGGTTACTGTGGAAACCTCTAAAACCTTCAAGGACTGAACAGTCTTTGATGAAGACTCCAAACCTCATCTAAGTGTTTATGAGTCCTGTTGGGTTAGGGGTGAACTATGGCAGAAAGACTCACCATATGATATCAACCAAACTCAGGGGAAGAGAGCTGGAGTTTTATTTTATTTAAAATGAAGTCCTAATAAAGGCTCTGGATATAGAAGTTCATGGGCTCCTGGTTAGCGAAGGGCATGGATGCACATGGGAAGGGGCTATATTCCTTTTCCGTGTTTGAAGGCTCCTGTCTTATACACCACTTTGCATCCCTTCCTTTGTACTGCGGTATGATTGTGATCATAGCACTTCCGTTGAGTGGTTCTACTGAACTACCAATCACAAGGGGATTGTAAGAGTCAGCAGAACAGAAGTGAGGTTCATCTGGGGACCCCTGGTGTACTGAGGAAATAAGTGAAATCCCAAAATGTGTATCCAGGAAGTGAGAAGTGTGGGGGATCTTGAGAACCCCTGAGGTTAGGGTGGTATCCTGAAGAGGTTGTGGGGCCTGGGGGAATCCAGTTGTAGCTAGCAGGCCAGAAGTGAGTGTGCTGTGGGGAGGGACTCCCAATCTGGCCTCTAGCATCTGAGAATTTGGGAAGAATTGACAGTCTGTGGGACTCTGCCCTTTAACTGTGAGACTGATTCTATTCCAGGGCTAGATTCAGAGGAAGAAGTGTTGCATGTGCCGCTGATGTCCGAACACAAGTCAAACCAAGG